GAAAAAATGAGGCTTGCCATTCGAGAGTATGGAATGACAGATAATCGTCAGGCTGATTAACGTCCTGGAGTTAGCGGCGAAATTCTCAGTCCTAGTAGAATGAACATTATCAGATTGCTTGAATGTCAATAGTGGACCACCAAAGACCAGTTATTCTCTGCCTAATTGTTCAACCTCATGAAGGTATATGTTATGCGGAGAGTATCACTGTGATTACACGAGTAACTAATCATCATTCAGTTTCGCAGCTTAAGAGGTCTGGCGGCATTCCAAATTGACCGTGAGAGTGTCGAGGCATCGTATTGCCATAGGACCGCGCAAGTTGCGCACAGTCACTCTCCAAAATCGTGTACAATGCTACTATGAGAGTGACGGGTCATGTTGACTTCACGGAAAAATAGAATGGTGGCATTCGCGTTAGCTAAATGATATCAAAGAATGATACTACGAAGGATGTGATTGACCATTATACGTGTCTTGGTTAGTTGTGCTGACTCATAAGTGTGACACTCGTCCTGAACGGATTCGGCGTATGAAACTCGTATTTTCGAATGACGGAAAGCAATGTGGCATGCTTAATTGTCAGATCACAGTAACATCGGATATCCAGATAAGTGTTTTGAGGCATCGGTGTTCGAAATGATTATGACAGTCTCGAAATATCTGCCCTAATGAGCCGTCATGAACTTTGCTTGGACAGGTGCCAACATTGTCATCAGAGTAGAATTGTAATACAGGGTCTTAAATGATCAAATGATAACAGCCGTTGGTGTTAGAATATCAGATAGACTGGGACAGCAGAATCTGATGGTTTAATTTACGGCCAAATAAAAACATGTTGAAACATTTCTCCCTTGGGAACTGCGCCCCGCTCGCAGTCAGGTAGATTTACTTGCGGAGAAGAATGTGAAATTCGCCGCAGCAGTAAAATATTACATGATATTTATCTGAAGAATCATTTCTAACAGAGTCAGAAAGCTGGATTTTTCTGATGCCCTAGCTCTTTTAATCACAATGGACAATAACAGAAAAATAGCATTTCCAATATCGCAATACTGACATTGTGGTTTGACAGTATTCACATAAACTGATTTCAATAATTGTACAGAACCTGCTTTAAAAACCTAAAATGTCTTTTAAATTAAAATTGAGCAAATATGAAACACATTTTGTTTCCAGAAATTGTGTATGATTAAGTGGTAGTTTGCTGTTTGTACCTGCTGATACCAATAATTCTTCAAACCTTGCCGAACGGAATAATTGTTCTATTGCTTCACCCTATGTGTGCAATGTAGACTCGGGTGAAGATTCTTCTGCTAATTTTTGTTTCATTTTAAATATTGTTGATTTGTTTTTGTTAATATTATCTATTCGTTTTTTGCTTATCGTGAAAGCCTAAACTTAAATATTGATAATAGTTCATTTTTCCATATGGCGTTTTCTTTGAATTTTTTGGTTGTCATCGTTATAAAATTTAGTTTCGTGTCCGCAGTATTGATGGATTTGATACCCGATGTTGACATAGATTCGTCCGGCAAGTTCAAGTATATCCTTGTCAAGGTTACGGACAAAAGTGGTGACGAAAAACTCATCGTTCGAGGTTACAAGCGACTTGAATATCATTGTGAGTTGATTTCAGTAATGAATTTTTGAAAACGTAATGCTTATGAACTACATTGCTTAGTCATCCGCTATCGAATGTAAAATGTTTGACTTATAAAATTTGATAAAGGAACAGATTGCATTGTCCAGAAAGCATATAAACATTTTCTGTCGGTTCATATTTAGATTTGCTTGGTCCTCGCAGAACGACTTAAACCAAAGTTATACTGCTTTTTGTTGAAGGATGTCGAAAATTTTATTCGCTCATAAGTGTTTATTAGTTTTAGTGACATAATAAAAACAAAAGCAAATCAAAACTTTTGTTAAATATAGAGTACAAATCTTTAACCCGAATGCTTCAAGAACTGTCTTTCATCGTTCTGTTGGAGCAGGCTCTGTACGACTCTTCACGGATGTTCACTTACTGGACCCTTTTCAGGAAGAACAGGAAAATGCCATTCAAACCGTTTAGGTTAAAGTTGTGAATCTGTGTCATTGAACGTTTTGATGGGAATAATTTTTCAATCCGTATCGAAGTTTGCAGGATTGTTAAGGAGCTATGAAAGCAAGCG